TCATGTTGTGAAGGATTTCATAATATTCAATCTGCTTAAGCATGGGCAGGCATGTCATTAATCCAGTGGAAAACAGGCTGCATTACAAATTGTGTTTGCCATCCAGGAGTGGTGCCCACCGACTGAATTAGTGATTGGAGACACTGAAGCCTCTTTGCTACTGACCTATATACTCTCTCCAACTGTTAATTTGTGTGTACTTCTGTGTTTTTTGATGAAGCAGTATTTTGTGTTTCATATGGCCAATAAGAACTTCCAGAGTTTTGTAAGTCAGGGCATGTAACTTGGCCCTCTTGTCATAACAGGCTTTCAAAGTTGGCCATGAAAAATGGGACTATAATTCTGCCTCATTATGCTGAAAATATTAGTCATTTCATTGTGCTGGCTTTTTTAAAGCAGGTATATTAGCATTGTTCTACTACAACATTTGTTCTTTGTGTGTATGAGAACAACAGTGAGGTGATTGCTCACTCCACCTTTTTTAAGGATTGAGGTGAATACTTAGCTGTATTTTAACAAGTTTTTTATAAAATGGAAGATGGTTGCTAGTCTTCACAAACTATCTTCTTTGAAAAATTGTGTGATTTTTTTAGGGTCTTTAAAATACAAATTTTTAAAAACGACATGCTATGCTGTAACTGACTGTTTTGTGAAGGTTATTTATAGAGAAACTGTTTTATGTTTTTCAAATGAGCATTGCTCCTACTTTAAAATCTTTTATTGTCAAGCCAGCTAGTACGTGCAATTCCTGTCTGCTTTCTTGGCAGACTTTGAGCTTTAATTGCTTTTTTTTCCCTTTGCAATCACAATGCAATATAGTAAAAAAAGGCAAAAAACTTCTCCCTGCCAAAAAAATTAACTGCAAATCCTAGCACCCTCCTAGTTTATTTTTTAATTGTTGTGGGGGTGCTTATCCCTTCAATGCAGTTGCAAGTAGTCCATAGAGAATCCTTTATTCACTACTGTGAGCTTAGAACTTGTCTGTTTTGGACATTACTTGTGGCAAAAAGAAGTAGTTAATTTCACCTGTGGTTAATATTTCCCTAAAGCAGTGCTTGTCTTATTGTAGTGATTATGGGTGTTTGAACAGTATTTTAGTGAAGTGATGCAGGAGTTGTCCACGTGATGGAAAGGAATGGGTTTTTCTTCAGGAAACTGCTTTCTGGTTAAGGCTGATTTTGATCTGCTGCGCATTTCTAGCTGACTTATTTCTATTAAATCAAGATAAAAACATGTTTCAGTAAATTGTAGGTAGTACACAAAAAAATTGTAAATGTTGATTCTTTTACTATGAATAAGATCATGAGCTCATTAGACATTTTTCTTTTTGTGCCTGAACAAATCTTTGCTTTAGGAAATATATTTTGGGGGGCTTTTTTTTTTGATTTTGACATCTGCTTCTTACTCTGGCAAAGCAAAAATGCCAGATTTTAGCTGTATCTTGATGAAACTTATTTTCACTTTTTTTCTTTTTTTTTTTTTTGAGAAGCATTTCCTCAGTACAACTGCCGCTGTTCAGACAATAAGGACACTTTGACTCACTGAAACATCAGCTCCTGGGAAGAGCATTGTGCAGATGGCCTCCAGTTCGGCCTCTTTGCATTTGCAGATCATTGTCCGTGGTGTGCAGTGCTGCTGCCGTGTGTTTGTGTGCCGAGTCCCGGCAGAGCCGCCGCAGTGAGCAGCGCCTGCACAGCGCGGCCGTGGGCAGGCCGCTCGCAGGGCCTGGGCTGCGCCGGGGGCCCCGCTCGCCGTGCCCAGAGCCCGGGATGTGTTCAGCGGTGCTGGGCACACGAGCTGTGCTGCGGCTGTTCTCAGCTCGGGAGAGAGCTCCTCACCCAGGGAAACAGCTTAGAGAGAAGACAGGGCAGGTGGTGCTGGTTGGCCACAGGGCATCACCAGCATTGGCTTGTAAGGGACTGGACCCTTTTATTTCCTTATTGCTCTGTTTTCCTACACTTTCCCTTCTAAGCTACATATTCCCTAGCAGCTCTTACCATCCCTGGTTGCTCTTTTACCTCACAGTGGCTGGTCAAGCCCCACATGCAGTGGCAGCCTCAGTCTGCGAGGTGCTCTGAAGAGCCTCTTTCCATTTACTTGCTGTCTTGGGTCTCACACACTTGGCCACACTGTATTTTTAGTATTTTAGTTCTCAGGACACAGCTGAGAGAGCTCTGTGTGCCTTTGGCGTGTGAAGATGTAAAAACCATTTAGCTCAGTAGATTAGAGCATGGTGCTCATGACACCAAGGATGTGGGTTTGGTCTCCCTGTGGGCCATTCACTAAAGAGCTGGACTTGATGCTGAGTTTCTCAGTTAACCTCTTTATGTGTGTACTGTTAGGGTTATGAAGTGATTCTGAGACTTTCATTTTTATCTCAAATGGACTGTTTAAGTTGATAGGCTGGGTTCATGCTCTTCTATCATCTGCGTCTCTGTCACATCACCCAAATGTTTTTCACCTTGTTAAGCATATTGAATGTAAGATTTTTTTGCCATGTGTCATGGAGAGCAACAGAAGAAATGTACCTTGAGTGATTTTTGTTGACTTGCATGCTCTCTGTTGTATCTCAGTAATTCAACTTAAAGTTCTGAAAAAATTGCAGTGCCAACAGCATTTCATCTCCCCTCTCCTTCTACCCTTAGAGTGAGCAATAAAGCCATTTTGAAGAAATGCTGTCAAACTATAAGTACACTATAAGTGTCCAAGAACAAGATTGTTTACTGAGCAATGTGAATTAAAAGCTGAGTATTTCTATATCTCTTGAATTCCTTTCCTTAAGTCACTATGGTTCATGATAGAGCGTTAACTTTTGATTTCTGCTCTAAAGTCTAAAATTTATTGGGCAGTCCTCAATGTGTTTTAACGTTCAGTATTTTTATCAAATGCAACCACTGTTGCTTTTTAAAATAATGCCTGCATCTTTGATGTGACAGTATTAAGTATGGCTATGCAAATTAAACTAAAGTGTTTGGTTGCCTGTAAATTTTTTAGAGAGACATAGGCATTACTTTTCATTATTTTTCCTCCTCAGGATTAGGTAGTAAGATGTTTGTTTCAAACATTTAGCTTGCTGTTGTCAAAGATCTCAGCAGGTGCAAAAATGAAGTGCAGCACATGTTGCTGCAAAATCCCCAAGTATTTCTTTGACTTCAGCAGATGTAGAGTGGGAAGAGTCAAGTAAATGAGAGCTCAGCACGATGAAATGGAATTTATGCCATATTTCAAATTTGACATCATTGGTTAAGGCCTGAAGTGAAAACAAATGAAAACAGCAATCATGAAGTGAAAACTGCTGCCCCGAAGTGTGTGACGGTTCTTGAGTTACCTCAGCAAAGTTTCGTGGGGCTCTATTTTTGTTTATTTAAAGGGAGGGCTGTTTTAAGCATTCCTCAAGCTTTTCTTCCTCCTATTGCGTTCTACACTTTGCCCATTTTTTCCATGAATAATAAAGATACCATTGCCACAGACCATTAACTCTTGCTTAATTATTTCTTACATTGCTTTTTTCTGCCTGGTAATGGCACTGACATGTGTGGGTTATGCAGTGCTGGATGCAGCACATTCAGCTGTTGCCTCTGGTTGCCTGGACTGCACTCGATTGCTGATGTAAGAGAGGGGACACACACAGTGCTGCTTGAGCACCAGCTTTACATTTCTATCTTAGTTTCTACAAAAACATCCCATTTTGGTTAATCAGTGCAGGAAATAAAATATGTTAACATATCAGTTATATGTTAACAATCTAAGAAAAACAGAATAATGATGCTTTGAGGTTGACTTTTTTCCTGGCCTTTCACAATTGTTCAGTGATACATTAGTATCACTGTGGCTACATGACGCCTGAACTCTAGACAGAGTCTGAATTCATATTATTTTGTGATTTATTAAATCACCAGTTGTGATTATCTGATGACCTAATGAGTAGACACTCTGCACGTCAGAACTTGCCCAGGATAATCCTGCAGGCCTGTGAGAAAATCCTTGTGTCAAAGATACAATGCTGAAGCTTAAAAATAGACATTTGCTCCTCAAAAGGAATTTGCTGCTCTTCCAAATTTGTTACTCACTGAGTCATGCTCTAATATACAAATGCAGTGACCTCATCTTTACTGGAGAGAGTAGAAGCTGTTCAAATCATATGCATTAATTTCACCATCAGATGCAAAAAATGTCAGTATACACCTGTATTCATGCACACAGTTTTTTCTTTTTTTCAAATCCAACAATCTTTTGCTCAGAACAAAGTTGTTTGACATAAAAATAGGTGAAACTACTGTTCAGAGTTGTGCCTAGCTGTGCTTTTAAATTAATTTATAAATGCCAGAAATGAAGCAGTTCTGTGTAAAGTGGCTCTAAACTCCAAGCAAGTCCAAACTTCTTGAATGCTTAACAGATAAGCCTTTTATCTCAGACTTTATTTGCTATAAGTCTGCTTGCATGCACTTTACTTATCGTAAGTTGTCTTTTTTTGTGATGACTGTCACAAGTGTTTAAAATGTTTAAAAATACTGTTCAGTACTTCGGATTATTTAGGTTGTTAGCCAAATAGTTTTTCCGCCTCTTAATTGTTGATTTTGTGCCTGAAATTAATTGATTATATAAAAACAGATCTTAATTTCTCAAAATTTAATACAATTCATTTACTTAGTGATGTTTTAAACTTCTGATCAGCCTGAAACAAGTGTAAGATGCAAGTTTTGTACTCGTATTCCACAGCTTGAACTGTCAGAATAAAATCAACCAATAAGTAACATTTCTTTGGAGAATCTATTAAAGCTTTATCTGAGCTTTTCAAAATTGTTGATCAGGTTTTAGATCTGACTGGTGAAATTATGATCCTGTAATACCTTATTTTATATGAATAACTTTATGGTAGCTGTAGCTTTTTTTCAGCTTATCCCAAAATCTGTCTGATTCTATTAATCTCTGTGTGGAGGTCATTGTTAAGAGCTGTACATTAAAGTCCTTTATGTTTTGGTTTTCCTGTGTGCTTTTAGGTGAGTTGTGTAACCTCATAACGCTGGATGTAGCGCACAATCAGCTTGAACATCTTCCAGAAGAGATTGGAAGCTGCACGCAGATCACCAACCTTGACTTGCAGCACAATGAGCTCCTGGACCTGCCAGAAACCATAGGTAGGTGAAGAGGCTGGAGAGGAGAAAATAAATCACTATTTCAAAATGTTCATTAACGGGAAAACAGATTTAAGAATGAGTATTTGTTGGTGGCTATAGAATGACTAGTGTTCAGCTCAACACAGCTTCACACTTGAAATTTAAAGCAAGATGTGCTTGTTACCTTAAATTTTGCCTTAAATAATTTAAGAATGAGAGTTACAATGAAAAAAATCCAAATCCATTACTTCTAAATCTTAGGGTGTTCTATGGTTATAAGCAAATGTCTACTGCTCGTTTGTTCATTCTGTAATGTAACGGAGCATATAAAGAAATGAAAGGCTCACTTATAGTTGAAGTGCAGTACTTTGGCAGATAATTTTAACTTACACCTTTGCCTAAAGAAAAATAAAGCTAAAATAATAAATGTTTTAAAATAATTATGTATATATTATGTTCTTTGGTGGAACATCTGAAAAAATCTCACAAGTCCACAAGGTCATCATGCTCTTATGCAATAGAATACAAAGAGTTTGGAACTTATATTGGGAATAGTAGACTAAGATAAACACAGTCCTGGTTGGTTTCAGTATCTGATATGGGATAAAGCAACAAAATATGCCTTTTCCTATCTCATTAAATCAGTTTTAAACAGATGGCAGAAAAAGATGGCTGCTGTGATTTAAAAAGTCTAAAAACAAGGCTATCATGATTTTAAGTTCTGCCACCAGAACATATTCAGAAGAATGAACATTATCAGTTTAATAGTATTCAGTGTTAAGTAGTTATTAGTTTACTTTAATGCATGGTAAAGTGAGGAACCATTTAATGACACTCCAGCTTTTCTTCTAGCAGTAAATTTTTGAGGATTAAGTTACTGTGGCTTTTGGTTGAGAAAGTTTGACCTGAGCAGAGTTTACACTGATGATGTATCCACTGAACTAAACTTCCTTCCTGGACTGATATTTTTAAACTCTGGAGATCCCATTCCATCTGGAGTTTGCATGTAACTTACACCATTCATAAGTACAGCTTTTATTTTTGTTGCTATTTTGTAAATCTTGCTGAATGTTGTTTTACATAACACTTATGTGTAGTGTATGTGTCACATTTAAGGAGTGAGTTCCCTGGATAAACTGTTAATTATGGGAAAAATTCTCTAAGCAAGTGTGAGATTTCCATATTCAAGGCTTATAGACTAATGCTGTTAATTCCTGCGAAGAGTAGTAGTGTGATTTACCAAGTTGTTTAGTGCCTGGTAGTCACTGAACGTCTCAAAGGACCAGAAAAATCTCACTTGTAATATGCTGCAAGACTGTACTTACAGGGAAAGTCTCTGGGTGGGAGAGGCACAAAGTTATTAGGCAGTTAAGTCACTTGTGATGGATAGGAAATTGCTCACACTGCAGTCAAGATAGTTTGGACTCACCTATTTCTTCAGAATGTTTCTGTAAGCTTAGGTGGTTTCTTTTGAGTCAGGTTCATACCTGTTTGAACTGGATTTCGATTTTCTCTGTTTAGTTTTTCCTTTGCATTGTCTCTATAATGTTTAGAAGTTACTTGCTTTTGAATGTTGGTAGCTGTCTCTTTACAAGCTTATCTGAACTGAATATCAATGTTTCAGAGCTCAAGAAACCACCAAAGATAGCTGAATAATGGTAGGAGACAGGAGTGAGCCATCATGTTGTTAACCTTACTCTAGTTCAGTTTTGCTCCACTGGAAAATCTCTCTTGTAAACAGTAAGTTAAAAAAAAAAAAAGTATTTAAATAACAACTTAAAATCAGAAATCCATGTTTGTGCCTCATGTGGTTCACAAACAGAATTTAATAGTGAAGGGGAAAGCTTTAGGTTCCATCTTAAATGATAATGATCAGCCTACATTTATGCATGTTGCAGAAAAGGCAGCCGTAGCCAGTTCAGCAACATTGGCTTTATTTCTTAGTCATCGCAGTTTTGGTTCAACATATGAAAGCAAGTTGTGGCATGATTTTTAGATTACAGCTTGCTTTGTGGTTGGGATTGTTCAGCGAGAAGCTGAGTGCTGAGAAAAACCCGGCGAGTCAATGGCGCGTGGCCGCCTGCGCGCGGCTGGGGCGGCCCTTGGGCCTCTCCTGCTCTCACTGCAGGCTGTCTCTGCCTGGTGCTTGCCACACTGCTTTTTCTTGCAACATCTCCACGCTTCCAGGTGTCAGGACGCTCACTGTATGAGTGCTGTTAATGGTTCTCAGTTCAGTCAAGCTCTGGGTTGCAGGGCAGGGACAAAGCAGACCAAGCACATTTGCTCGTTTTAGGTGTTTGATGGTCTGTGAGCCCATGAGCCTCCTGTTATGGACCAGGCTTTCCATTACTGCCAGGTCTGTCCCCTCTTCCCCCACTGACACCCTTTGGATGGAGGCCTCATTTTTTTCTTGAGAAGGATGTTTTGTCATGCTGCTTTGAAAAACAAACAGCCCCCTTTGCTTTCTATTTCTCCTTCCCCTCCATCAAAAAACCTTCTTAAAGTAGCTTCTGGGCTATATAAACAAGCTTTGGTTTTACCACAGCAAGATTTCAGAATCTACCAAGCTTTAAAAAAAGCTTGTTTGGTAACTAACAGCATGTACTGAAATGTGCTGGAGCTGTGAGAAAGGGACGTGAGGGTGATGTGCAGGGGAGTGGCAGGGAAGGGATTATGCATCAGCAGTGATTGCAGAGGTTGCAGAGCCAATATACCCACTCTGTAAAAATATCAAGTTCTTCTCTCAACTAATGCTGTAGAAGCATGCTTTTGTGCAGTAACAAATGTCAATTTTAGATATTAGTTGTCAGGAAGTGATCTAATGCCTTGCTTTATAGATATTGGCTTAATACATTCATATCTGTATTTCTGTTGATTGAAAATTGTAAAGTACTTTTTATATTAGATCATTTCCTGTAAGAAAAATGAGCTTTGTGGAATGGCTTAGCACATTCCAAGAGTCTCAAGCGCAGAATCAAAATCGTAGTGGGATCGTAGCTGTTCAGTGTTTTCATTGCAGATTGCACCCACCCCCCCCATGTTGTGATGGTTTTTTTTGCTTTTGGAGGGTGGTGGAATTGTTAGCTACTTTTATTTACACAGTGTCTTATCTCTGTATACTTAGCTGGCACACTAATATATCCAAAAGTTATACAGAAGAAGGTGAACAACCTACCATTTATATTAAAATCATTAATTGAACTTCTGAGTCTGGTAACAAATTTTGGGTGGAGTAAATTGTTTCTTAGGATTACAAGATAGCTTAGATAATTTTGTCCTGAAAATACCACATAGTGAGTGTTCTCTCTTTGAACTTTTAATTTTAGTATTCTGTACAAATGTGTTCACAATTTCATATGTAAAAGCATAGAAAAACTGATTTGAGAAAGAAATATAACAGAAACAGAGTTACAGCTTTTAATAATACCAGATTCTTCATCTGCTTTGTAATTTTCTAGTTTTGTGTGCTTACGTGCGCAGTTTGATTATAGTAAAATGTGCCATATTCACAGGCATCTAAGGCAACAGAAATTTTAATAAGAAAAGGAATAGTCAGTTGTAAATGTTCCAAAATTATACTTTAAAATCACATAAAATTCTGTCAATGGACACATTTTCCAGTGTCTGACATAGCACTTTTCGTAAGAGATGGTTAGGAAAATGGGAAGTGTATTTATACCTCTGTACTACCCTCCTGCCCTTCTCTGTGGCATTGTAGGTCAGAAGCTGAAATCACAGTTTTCATGATGTTAACTACTATTTATTGATTGATTTTGCTGGTTGAAATTGTGATCCAAACCACGCTTCTAACCTGTTTAGGCCTCAGTGTACCTCTGAGAGCACTGCTGTGCTCTTTAAACCTACAGCTGGTAAAACATGAAGTGCTGACCACCAGAACCAGAGGTATGCAATTGGTACGGCTCAGGTTATACAAAATTGTGGTTGACAGTTTAAAGTCCCTAGAAGTAAAGATATTTCTGAAGAAATGTGAAACTGCTTTAAAATGGTATTTTAAATTCGGCAGGTTTAGCAAAAGCAGGAGTCTTGTTCTGAAACATCTGAGCACCTGCAGCTCCCTCAGTGATCGGGGCAACGTTCAGATGTGACCGATGAGTTTGATGTGGTTAATTACTCACTGTTCTGATGAAGCAAAGTGTAGAGGCTTCTGCTCCAGCTTTCACAGCAACATTAATATTCTCAACATTTAAGCACGACCTGGTGCTTTGGTCAGTGAGCATTCTGTTTTGTGGCATCAAGAGAGCTTTGGGAGAGCTGATCAACATTCGCTGCTTTGTCTAAGGTTTTGTTCTTGGACCATGCCGTTAATTAAACTTCTTTGATTGGACTCTGCTAGTATTGGGCAATTGCAAAAGTCCAGCCTTTTCTTTATCTGATTGAAAGCAGTGGCTCCCACTCTAATTTTTGTATTACTGTAAACTCTGTCTAGTTCTTGTGGTGGTCTCATAAAGGAAAACTTCTGGTTCTTGTTGCCTTCAGTTCTAGACTTAGTAAATGTAAAGTAGCAAAATTGACTGGAAAATGTCAGGTGGGGGATAAATGGGAAGTGACTTGCTCATTTTGTCCTCCAAGTTCAGAAGGGCAGGCATGAGGCTTTGAGGTGTCTCACAATAGTGAAGATCAGACAGTACTGTGTGATGGGCAGGGGACGTTTGGGTCTCAGTGTTTGCATGGGCTGATGCAGGTGCTAAAAGCTCAGGGTGTGACATGGCAGTCAGAAGAAAATCAAAACAGTTGCTTCTACATTTGGGAAGTCACTGTTGAATCTTCCCTCACTCTTCAGGAATTTCAGGGTGTCCTTTCCCCTTTCTTTAGGTTCCTTTCCTGGTATCTGCTCTTGGACAGCATTCAACTGCAGGGGAAATGCAAAGTGGAACCCTGATCTCCCTAAAATAATTCTCACATTACTTAATTGGCTAAAATTGTTAAGATATATTCATGTGTTGTACATTTCTTATGTTTGCTTTATATAGTAGGGCAGACTTAAAAAATTAAACACACCT